GTGTGAGCAAGGTTCAGGTTTTGTTGTCTGAAACATGCAACCACTGGCCATTCGAACCAGCCAATCAAATTAATTCAGTAACAGATAGTCAAAGCTATTACCGTAATACGTTTTCTGTGACTAGACAAATAACACCGAGTGAGTAGTACATAAACTTTGTGTTTGTAGGTGTTCTCATCACGAGGAAATGTTCAAGAATGGGTCAAGGTATCTCTCCATTTCTTGTTTGTCTGACAGTAGAAGAAAACAAAAGAAGTACAGACTCTGTCAGTAAATGACCTTTCTGCTCATGTATGCATGCATGCGCATGCTTAGCTTATCAATAACTTAATTTTAAGACAGTTTGAAAAATCTAACAATATTATGCTCAGTTTTTACACACCTAAGTTATTACCGGTACCATGCCACGTACAATACAGTGTTTCAAAAAGCCGGCGAATATTGCCGGAACTCCGGGAGGTGTTATGAGGTTTACTGCCGATTAGTCCTTTAAATTGACCCATTCAGTGGCTGCACTCTTCCCCTAACGAATAAAATCATCTGGTGGTAGACAGAGTAAAATAATAAAGTTGGGCGCATCTGGGCACATTCTCACTCAACTTAAAGGGTTAAACTACATGTACAGGTATATACTGTTCATTAGACAGAGTAAAATAATAAAGTAGGGCGCATTGCCACTTAAAGGGTTAACAGGGTGCATGGGCAGATAGTCTGGTTAAGCCATTGTGTGGCAGCACTCTCCCCCTGACGAGTAAAATCAACTGGTGTTAGACAGAGTAAAATAATAAAGTAGGGCGCATCTGGGCACATTGCCACTCTACACTTAAAGGGTTAAACTACCATATTGTATATGCTATGTATCCATCTCACTTTTATTAAGCAATGGCAAAGGAATATCAACAATAAACTAATAACGTCAGATTTGTAAGTTTTATTATTGTCTAAAACCCAAGAACTAGCTACAACTACCAATGCCATGAAGGAGAAATATTTTATTTTTCTGCTCTTTCAAATCAGCGTTTATCCTATATTGATGCCTGCTTAATAACAGATATCCTGTATACTACAACTGTTGTAAATTAACACAAATTGTTAATAATATGTAATATTTAAAATTGCACATGAAGTGGACGGACTTGATTGCATTTTTAACATCCACAAACTAAGACATGGATTTATACAAAATGTGTTGTAGAAATACATTTAATATATATGCACTAGCTGGCAATGAAATTAATGTAGAAATAATTGTATTTTATTCTCACTGTAAATTATTTCAGCAAGTTCAAAAGGCATGTGATGACTCAGCTAAGGATATATTTGGTGGTAGTGTACGTGAAGTGTTGGGTAGAAGAGATCTATATGTCGACGATGATGCTATCTTAGAAGGTATGTACAGAGCCACGTGAACTTGTAGCAAATGCGTGGGCTCTTGGCAAACGATCTCTATAGCTCAGTGCATATAGCACGTTGCACTAAAATTGCGAGGTTACAGATTCAATTTCTCCCATATGATTTTTGCTCTGTGGTAACTGTTCTTGCATAATTTTGCTTTCGTCGAAGTCATGTTTTTTTCTTAAGTACTCGTCTTAGAAAGTGAAAAATACCGGTTTAGAGGAGAGAGAAAATCAAAATTCCCACATCAATGAAATTCCAAGCGTCCATCTCGGCATTCGCATTTCTGTTTCATCCATGTACTGTAGCTTCTTTTCCACTCTCTCATAAAGTCCATGTCGTTGAGTCGTGCATTATAACTGGTACTTCCCCAAAGTTCTAAATTTATCCAGACCTATATGTTGTCTTCACTCAGGCCAAGATTTGATTGATTCGTGGATACATAAGAAAAATGTGGATGATCTACTGACGGAATGTGAAATACAAGATGAAGTATCCAACACATCTTTCTCAGGCTATAATAGAGAACTGTCCCGTCATCATCAGGATAGCTCCAGGCTTTTTGATTCATCACACAATTATTTTAAAGAAGATGAAACTGAAGTACGAAAACCAGGTAATTATAGTAATATACACCCTGTTATTTCCAGTTTTAGATTGTTTTTAGTGCAAAGTGTACTATAGGGATAACACATAAGTGCAGATATAATTAAATACTAGTTTCATAGAGTAAACCTCTTGGGAATTGTCATATTAATTATGCTTTTCTCTATAGCATTTCTGTGTGTATTACTATTTCCCAGCCCCAGGATAAAAAGGTATAATGAAACTTTTGGAATATAGAAATTTTCCGAAATTATCCAAAATAATTTCGTGTGGTGCAAGTAAAATAACTTTAACGCATCGTCATATACACTGTACTTGGACTTTTCATTTTCATTTGACCTATGCTTATCAATTGAAAGCACAATAATTTATTGTAGTATTTTTGTGCAGTTTTTTATTTCCAAAGTTTCATTGTACCTTTCATTGTACCTTTCATTGTACCTGCCTCTAGCAACTTAATTACAAACATTGTTAGAAAAGTTACTGGTGTACATGCAATATTTTCTTTTTATGACAGTGTCTGATTGTGCACTTTGTACTTGGGATCTGTGAGTTAATTTTTTGTTGATTCTGTACAAGCTGGCGAAGGTTCGTGGCTTGAACGTAAACCTTCTGATCGCTGGTCGTACGCTATATCTTGTTATATTATTTGTACTGATCATGTGCGAAAGTTTTACAGATCGAAGGTTTTGTAGAATAAATAATTGTGGTGTTTTTTCACAAAAATCAAGTGCACTTTGTTATATTTTTTCCCAGTATTTGAGTTGGACGATGACTTCGATGAAGAAAGTGCAGTTCATGAAGTTGTTTACAATATGTTGGAACGGGATGTGGTTGATTTAAATTCTGTAAATGATGAATTAATGTTCAAGGCCAAGACAAAGAAATTTAAAGATCCAACACCCAAAATGAAGTTAAGACATGAACAGGTGAACTTTTATTCGAATAAATGCGTGTAAAGATGTCACATTTCAAACTTCGCCATAAACTGATGAACAGGAATAGTGGCGTCAGCAGTCGTTTTCATACGCCACGATAACAATCTTATACGACTGGTCGTATCGTGTAGATGGGCCTTTAGGTGCTATATTTTTACATCAATTTTGTACTTTAAATTTATAAACCTACAGCAACCATTTTCTATTTTTTTCACTCGGTTTTTCTGTTTCACTCAAGCATGAATAATTCCAGGTCTTAAATTCAAATTTCAAAACTGGGTGTAGGACTTGAATTCAAAAGCATTTTTATAAGTAGTGCGCAGAATGCCGTGTAGTTTCTTAGTTTTAATGAGCAATAGCCAAATGCTTCAATTTTTCGTTCACAAAATAAGTTACTATCGATTTGGTATTGCATCACAAAATTTCCACTTAAAATAATATTTTTCTTGGACCAATAGTTTCAATTAAATTTCAAAAGTAGCCAACCGTTGAATAGCTAAATGACTATGACTTAAAATTATTGCAAACATAAATGGTTTGCTTTATTATTCTATTCGAAATTTACGTTTTAATCTAGGATCCGTTTTTTATTGCGACTCAAGATCATCACTGTTAAAAACACTAGATCGAACTGTCGAAACGTTGGGTCGTGAATGTAATTCAACCAGGGATTGCATTTGTTTACTTAAGCCAGACAAGAGAGGGGAACATACAGTATGGTACAGGGAATTTCTATATCTATAACTTGTTGTAGGTGAAGAAAAGAGCAAGTCAAAGAAAAGTTGCGTGGGAAAAAGCAAATTTAAAGAAGATGAATGAAAAAACTGTGGAGGAGGAAGCTCGGAAACAATTACAACGTGAAGAGAAACAACGTTTGGATAATATCAAACGAGAAGAAGATGAAATACGAAAAGAAATGGTAAAAATAAGACGAGTGATGCAAGAGGAGAATACACAGCGTACTAAACACTATACTCGGTAATGTATCGTATAGTCGAGATGTCTATACATGTATGAAATGTAAATGAGTATTCCTAATGTAACCAATGCGACTGCAGCAAGTTATACGTTTCCTGGTGTCCTACGTTACTGTTAGTAGAAATTAAAATCAGTGCAAAGCGTAAACAACCTGTCCTACGGCTACGTTTAATTAACGTTTTTAAATTACTTGTAGCTTCCAAATGACCCCGAATTACTTGATGAGGTCACTTTATGAGTGCTTTTTACTGCCAGAATATATGTGTCCTGGTTGGGATGCCATATTAATTAAGACATTCTATAAATGTTACAAGGGATATCCATTCCACATGTACGACGAGTTTTATAGAAATGACTCGCTATGTTCTATAACTTGAGCCAGCCATGAACGCTATAATGATTCCAAACTGCTGAGGACTGCAAACAACACAAACTTCTTTAAAGAACTGGAGTAACTGGCCTATCATTTTTTACATGTAGGGTAGCAGAGAGCGAAGAAAAGGTGAATAAACTTGCGAAGGAAGAAGTTCGCAAACATCAGGAAGAAACTGAAGAAAAATTTAGACGAGAAAGTGGAACAAAAGAAACAATGAAGAAAAGGTTACTGAAACAACAGGAGGAAGACAAGATAAGAAAACAGGAAAATCTGAAGGTATATTTGTTGTTTTTTTCATGTTGAGTAGTGGACACTTTGTTTGGTTGTAAATTTTGATTGCCAACATATTCCAACCCTACATCCGGAGAGAAACTTGCGCTTGCTATCATGATCGTAACTTGACCTAGAGAAGTTTTAAGTTACATCAATGCAAACAGAAAAGTCCATCTCTTACTCCATGTGCATCTTGGGATAGTGCATGCCTGTTGGTTAATTTTGCTTGTATGCTGTATACATGCACCTAATCGCATATAATCTGAAATGATAATCATGTTTTAAAGCTGGTTCTATTCATGATATGATATTTGTATAGGTAATAATAGCATGGTTTGAACAACTTGCACGAGTGAGATTTTCAAAGGCGATCAAATTTAAACGTGTTCGAAGAACTAGTGCAATAAATTGGAGGCCTTTCATAAACTCAAAATTGAGAGCAGCTTCGACGTTTCAAGCGATGGCCCAACCTCGTTCCCAGGGAAAGAGCGAATACCCTGGCAACGAGGTTGGCGAAGGCCCTTCGTCGGGAAGTTAGTCGCCCTGCGCTTCCTGACAAATGGCCTTCGCTCGAAACGTCGAAGTTCTGCTTGTATTTTTCAGGTAGTTGTATCTCTTGTTACTATCGTCTCTACCCACACTTGCACAGACCGTTCGAGAAGAAATCCCTGGTCACTGGCATTCATGAAACACATACGAAATGAATAACTTACTGATTTGAATGGCACAACAACTAGTTAATAGTTTTAACAAGTTTTCAACTACCAAAAGTCAAAACTTTATTCAAAATGTCTATATTTGGCAACGCGTATTTCGATAAAATTGCACTGTTCTTATAGCCAATGTTTTGTCTATGTCAGTTAGATATTGCACGCCTTTCGGTTATTCTGATAAATAAACGATCATCTCCCATTAGCTACTCCAGAGCTGTTTCTCTTCATGGTACGCACTGGTTGTCAACAAGCAGATCAAATGTGGCAAAGCTCGAGCATTGTTAGAATGGAGGCGAAAATTACGTATCTGGAATGCATGGAGGACTTATATCTTACGTTCGAGAAGTGATCGAGAAACAAGAGCACTAAATGAAGAAATGAAAGAACGTCATAGGTGAAATAACATATACTTTTTCCAAATAATATACATGTATACATTCAAAGTATATTCTCGTTCCTGATTGGTCAACAATCCCTGGCTAATTTTCAATATCCGGTAGTTGCCACGTTATTTCAGCCACTGAAGGAAACAGTGACAGTGTGCAATAATTATCTTTTGGACCGATCGACAGTCCAAAAATAATTATTGCACGCTGTTGAGCCCAGGCGAGTGGTATCTTGTTTTAAAAGGCCGCGAAATTTTCAAAGCCGAAACAAAATGAGTTGTAGTATATTCGCTTCTTTAAATGACGAAGAACGTTCCAAGTTATTGTCAGAAAAAACACAGTGACAGCACCAAATAGGAAACGAAACAATGCAAACCATCTTCGACAAGTATTTATTAATTTCTCTTCAAAATTTTATTTATCCAAACACAAGAAAGATAATCTTATGAATTGTTTTCTTATTAAACTAAACTACAGTATGTGCATTTATGTCGAATAGCTGTTTGAGTTATAGATATATTTAACATTTTCCTACAGACTACCAGGAGAAAATCCTCCTATACCGAATACTGCTTGAATCGATACAGAGATGCTAGGCATATGCACTGACAAGTATGCACCAATTCCATTATCTTACGTCTCGCTGGTTTTCATCACACTATATATAACCAGTGTCTTTGCATTTATTCTCAGAAAAGAAGTGCTTGCTGACAGATTTTACCGTCAAATGCTGTTTCATCGTTGTCTCACAGCTTGGTTATCTTGGATCGAGAAGGCAAAGGAAGAGAGAATGCTTAAAGAGCAACATGATAAAAGAGCTGAGAAAATGGTTACTCTATTGAAAGCCGCTTCTTCTGGACAATTGTGGCAAGATAAGAAAATTGAAGAAGAAAGTGAATCTGAGCGTGATGCTCATGCTGTCGAAGAGCTGGTAAGATCAGCCCAGCCCCCTTCCCCTACGCCTATGTTTCGCATGCTAGGAGTGTTTTATTGCGTGTTACTCTCTTTAAATAAAGACTCACTTCTCTCACTCACTTCTCTCATTCTAATTTGCATGCTCATTCATGAGGACACAATTGTTTGCCCAAGTTTGTGCTGTATTTGCAAGTGCGTTATATTTTCATGCAGGAGGAAATTTCCTTGAAGCCGTTTAAACTTCAAGACCTCCCCCACGAGAGCAGAAGTTCGTCCGTTTCTTCACGAACCACGGGTAAGAAAGAAAACTCGCAAAGACAGGCCTGGTCTCATCAAAGACTGAAAGAAATGAAGAATAGAAAACCAAAGAAAAAACAGAACGCACTGTTAGCGAACATTGGCTCACTCACCATACGGACAGAAAGTAGCACAACAACAATTCAGAGTAATGATAGTCCTCATTTTAAGGATTCAACCACGCCTGAGAAAGTTATCAGTCAGAAGGAAAGTAAGCAGGCGGTGTTACCTAGCTGCAAAAATGTTAACTTGCATCCTAAAGCTCCCCGATCAAACGTTGTTCAAAGGAATGAGACCGATAAACCTGAACAAAAATTTGTCGATACTGATAAGATTTTTGCACAAGCGAAAAACGTTACAAGAGATAGTGTTAGCACGAGAATGCAAACCGTAGAGGGTAGTGAGCCACCACAGAGTACTCGTTCAACATCTTCCGCTGGGAATAAGTCGAAATTAACTTCAAAGAAAACACCTACAAAAACATTACATTTAGGTAAGTGGGCATACCTCATCCAGTAGTTAATGCTGTTGTTCTAGTTGTTGTTTTTGTTTCTGTTGTCGTTGTTGTTGCTGTTTTTGCTGTAATCAGTATTGGTGTTTTATTATATTAGTTTTTATTATATAGTAGAGGGTGCGATTATGGAAAATATCTCACTGTGTATTTTTCAGTATCTTCACTAGTGAAGATATCGATCACGTGACTTTTTCCAATTTGCTTTTGAGCGTGAAATTTCACAACTTTTTGCTTGGGACTATATAATAAACAGAACATTACACGGTGGCTTGAAGATAGGACTTTTATCTTCTCGTATTAAAAACAATATTTTACTCACTCGCTGCGCTCGTTCGTAAAATATTGTTTTCACCACTCGAAGATAAAATATTATCTATATATATTAAATATTATCTCTATATATATTAAATATGTTTTTGTGTTAATGGTGGTGATGCTACAGAATGGTTTCACGTTTCGCAAGAATAGCATTCCATTGTGGTTTGAACGTAAAGCACAGGATCCTCTTTCTTGTACCATGTAATTTTTGTTTATCATAAAATATCACCTTATCTCATTTAGCAATGGAGGAGCGAGCAAAAGCAAGAGCGGACAGAAAATCTCTCTTGGATGCGAAAAAAAGAGCAGCTGAAGAGGAAAAATTAGTAAGTGACTACACATGCTATTTTGCAATGGCCGAATTTCATTGCGCTCGAAATTCCCGAAAATTGTGACCGGAGTAGAATTTAATTCATACACGACATGTTTTGAAGATGATTTAAAACAAAAAGAGCCTGCAACTGAGGTTCTCAAACCATCGTCATTCAAAGTGTTTCATTACAAGGTGCACTTTTAGGAGGTATTGAAAAAGTAAGCACCGAGCAAACTTGGAAACGTTATTGCGGGGGAAACAATGTTTCCCGAAAATGGGCAATCCAGGATGAAAATAAGCACCAGGGATTTCACTTGTTTTTCTTTTCAGGCGAAGTTAAAACAACAACAGGAGGAAAAAGAAAGAGAAATCCTTGCTGAAAAACAAGCTGCGTTGCAAAGAAAGAGAGAAGAAATGAAACTAGCAAAACAGGTAATACTGTAGATAATCTTAGACTCTGTTAAGGGACCTACATCCTATGTCAAGTTGTTCACATGACGTGGTTTACTAAATTAAAGTATAAGTGGATAGTGGATAGCTCTATAGTGGATAGCTCTATCATCAGTATGTAACTGTTCTGGTCTTAGGGCGCAATGAAGGCCGTTCCCGACTACTATTTTAGAAAGAGCCAAAACGAATTATTTAAGCTTACGTTGCGTTGCTTTTTGCGCCCGGAATATCGACTTCAGCCCTTATTGGTCCAGCGATTATACTACAAGAAAAAACTTGCAGTATTTGGCAGAGACAACTAGAAGCACTCTTCTTACATTCAACCCAATCATGAGGAACACAATCAAAATAACTTTGAAACTACTAAATACTGTGACTATATTTCAGCGTGAACTTGAGAAACAACAACGTCTTGACGAAATAAGAGAAATGTACAGAAAAGGGGATGAACATTATCACAAAACTTTATTGAAGAACTTTGGTTTTCTACCTTGGAAGAAATTAATACAGACTAGAGACGAAATGATGAACAATGCTGAAATACTTCATAAGAGGAACTTACAAAGTGCATGTTTTCGTGAGTGGCTGGTGTATACAAGATCAGAGTGTCAAAGACGTAATCAACTTGCTGATGACATGCACAAAACTTTGCTTCTTCATTCTGGATTTCAGTCGTGGAAAAAGGTAAAATTCTACCGTTTCATTTGAAGACATGTATCGGGTAGTATGAATAGAAAACAACAGCAGCCGTTACGTTCGGATTGAGCAGCCTCGTGGGGGCGATTTCTTTTGAGAGGCTGTGACGTGTAAATGGTTGAAAACGTTAAGAAGTAATATCAGAAGGTCTCTGTTGTCGTCCATCAATAGTGATGATTCACCACTTTAGTGTTCTTTTTTCTGAAGCTGATTGACTTTTCTGAAGCTAATTTTATATAAACAACTTCTCAATGACTTGGACATACTGAATGGTATGAAGAACTTTCCGTTACCGTTTGCTAGACAATGTTACGACAAGTTGTGGTTTTTTATACCAGTGCATGTCATCTGTAATTTTTCACCATTTTAAGTATTTTGGCTGCATCCTCATGTTTCTCGCAACGAATTCTCTTTGATCATCCCTAAAGCCCATTTTCCACTAGACGAATTTGTTCGCGCGAAGCGAAGAGAAAAACGAATCTTGGAATGTGATCGGTCAGCGAAAAAAGTTGGATCAGTTCCTACTTTTTTACTGTTCGCGCGAACAAATTCGCCTAGTGGAAAATGGGCTTAAATATATGTCCGTTGGCGAGAATATAAAGATACAAGCAGTATTTATTGTTCTTTTTAGTACCGTAACCATTTGGCAAAAATGGACAAAGTTGCGTTAGAATTCTCGCGTCGTTACATTGTCAAGAAATACATCAAAATATGGCAGGATTTCGTAATTGAAGAAAGATTGTTGTACTGGAATAAGGAGAACATGGCTGATGAACACAACGATAAGTATGTTTGTAAACGGATGCTTCTTTCATATGGTACTGTTCCAGAAGCCGTTTCTATGAAAACTCTATACTATTTCTATCACTTCAGTATCTCTTCGATACCTCTCTCTCTCTCAAAGTCTTTCCTGATGAATTTTACATTAAATTAACAATTCTGCTTGGCTGTTATAAATATTTCACTAAGCGATTGTTAACTGCTCAATGCAAGTGAAGTTGCCCCAATTTTCACTTTATATTTACTGAAACCGAGGGGAACAGCGTGTTTTGTGGCTCCGAGAAAAGCCGGTCAATACTTGTTTCATTGTTGACAGGTTGCTCCGTCACCAAAGCATGCAGTGAACATGACGTTTTGTGGACCGGCACGTGATACGGTTTTGTACAATCAGTAAGCAGGAAAATTGAACTTTGACACTTGCTATATACTGTAATAATTATATTTGTTATATAGTTAATGTCAAAGTTCAATTTTTCTGTTTGCCGATTGGTCAAAACCGTGTCACGTGCCGGTCCACAAAACGCCATGTTCGGCAACCGGTCCGCAATCAAACATTTATTGACCGGTCAATAATAAAATGGGTGCAATACGCATGCGTGTCAACCATGAAGTTCCAAAGTTAATTTTTAAAACTTTTTACTAAACATTTACGGCGTTCTATTTATCCAGTTCTGGTTTCAAATTAATTCACTCCAATAACCGGTGAATTATTCATACCTCTAGACCTCGGGAAAGTAGTGTGTTTTGTGGCCCCTCGACCGCCGTTGTTGCCCTCGGCTTCGCCTCGGGAAACAACGGCGGTCTCGGTCCACAAAACACACTGTTTCCCTCGGTCTCAGTAAATAAGTGATAATTATTACCTGTGTAGTCTTAAATTCTTCAGAGATTTGAGGCTCGTTCAAACGTGGCCAACATGTTGGTCTAATATCATCCAAAATTGTTGGATGTCAGTGGCCTCGTTTGAACACTTGGCTGGCAATGAATTTCTCTTTGACAAACTGTCCCAGACGTTGACACTTTTGTGTTACTGATTGAGTAGAGCAGTATTGGATATCAAAATTGGAATAATGCAATGCATACACATGTCATATCGTTTTATAGACGGTTACTACGCAAGGCGATGACATACTGGAAGAAATACATTCCATTATTGAGAGAGCAAGAGAAACATGAGAAAAGAAGGAATGATTTAAGGAAACATGTTATGTCGCTACTACCTGATTTTCAAGCATTACATCACTCACCTTAAATACGATGATATCAGAAGGAATATAAAAGTAACACGCGCACCAAAACTGCTGGCACTTCAATTAACAAAAGACATTTGTCAAAACTGAAATCGGCTTAGGCCTATTTTATACGTCGAATTTCGGTCGCGTCGAATGCAATTCAAACAATTGATAATGAAGCTTAATGAGGTTTATCATCTCACTCTCTATTGTCTTAATTGCATTCGACGCGACCAAAATTCGACGTATAAAAAGTCCTTAGTTGCGTTTGAAACATCATTTTATGATATTTATTCTGGGACTTATTGTTACCTTATTGTATACATATAGGTATACTACAAGAACTGCAACATTTTTATTTAAGAATATAATTTTATTCACACTTTGTGTAAAAAATACAGATCAATATTACGTGTACAGTTAATATAAACAAAGAAACATCCGTTGATCCAACAAATTATTTCCTTCTAGTTTGACGACCTTTCGTGTAGCGATTCTCGTGACCAGGTTGTTTAATCACAGCTCGACTTCGTAATCTCGTATTAGCGTTTTCACTCACTTTTAACTTCATTTTCTCCGCGAACTTTGCATCTCGTCTCGGCACATTTCTTTCTTTATCCTGAGGCGGAGTTTTATGCCAGTTATGTAACGTTGCTAAACGTGATGAAGTGCGCCGAGAAGGATCGGCTGAGATATTAGACATAATGTTGTCTTCGTCTTTCTCTCTTTGCGGACGAGAATGTCGCTCTGTAGATTTCTTCTGATTTTCGACTTTTTGATGTACACTTGTTTGGTCCGCTTCTGGCTTAATGTTCGCTTTTTGCGATGGAACTGTTTCGGAAACTTTTCCTGTTTTATCTTCTATTTGATGACCTTCAAAGGTCGAACCATCTGACTTTATCTTCGCAAAAGATGTGTGACATGAGGAATGGTCGTTTAAGACAGTACATCTTCCACTGTTGCTTCCTTTGTTTGTTGGTCTTGACTCTTCCTTGCTTGAACAATTTTCCAAATCATAACCAACTTCAAATTCCTTTTGTGTTTCGTTTCTTCTATCGTGTTTGTTATTTGCCAACTCATCATCCTTCCTTCCACACACATGTTCTTGTGTATTCTCTGTGATTTTCTCAGTCTTCTCCACGGTTGCCTTATTAGTCTTCAATTTATTAGCTTCACTCGTTTTGCTTGCACTGCTGACTTGTTCGTCTTCGCAAATGTTTTTCTTTATTGCACCAAAATTTTCAGCTTTTCCGGTCTTGCCACCAGAATGCCCTCCTTTTACGGCAGGAATTTCTAGTTCTTTATTTTCTGCAGTTATTTTGACGATGAATGTACCCTTACAGTCTTTTAGACATTCTCGCTCATTATTCTTTCCATTCTCTGCACACTTATCCTGGAACAAAAAATATTTAGTGAGTAACCAAGTGCTTTCTTAGAGCAAGACGGGAAAACGTGGGTAAGTGGATGTAGCAGTTATACAATTGCAATTAATTGTAAGTATAAAGTTGGGAGAACCTCTGTATTCTCGCGAGCTGTTCATCAGGCTTTAAGAATTTCACACATGCTTAACCGCTTTATCTAATCGGCAACTTGTGTATTTTTCTGCAGGGGTGTAGCTAGAGGGGGTGTGGGGGAGTAACACCCCCCCCCCCCCCCT